TCTACATGCTCACAAAGAAAAGAACGTTCATACCGCACACATGTGCATGTAAGCCTTGTATTGTTTGTTAGACGAAATAATAGTCATTAGTATACTGCGGCTATAGTACCTTGCAGGGGCGGATTCAGACCGTATTTGCCGTATTGGGAAATACGGTCTAGATTTCAAAGTGCCCTTCAAAATTTTGCGCTAAAAAATACAGAAAACAATTTGATGGAATTTGGCTATATTCTTTATTTGTTTTCGTTTTCTTCTGATTCATTGACAGGACTTGACGGAAATAAAAATTTTACATGGTAACACAACTAGCCTTGATATCGGAAAAAGAAGGGACGTGCTTGAATCATTCTGCATTAATTGCTGGTATGCAAAGCGCAGGCAAAATGAAGCAGAAATAAAATTCCATATGGTTTTTAGCTATTGCTGCTTGACTAAATGTGTGCTTAAATGGTGCTCATTTTTGTGCCCATGCAGGGACCCTTGAAATTTTGAAAAATTGAGCTCATACCCCCCGCCATGTGCTTCCGCGCCGAACGGCGCCCACTGTGGGGTGGTGTGCCCTTTTTGGGGGATGTGCCCTTAAAATCTGGAAAAAATACTGTCTAGCTTCAGCCCTGGATCCGCCCCTGCCTTGACGGTCCAACCCCTATATATACGCATATATAGCATGCACCGACTCCTACGGCTATCAACAACGCCTAGGATATACTCAACATACTAGGCTACCTCTATGTGATTATTATGTGATTATTACGTCGTCATTGTTTGTATATAGGTGAACATTTCTATGTACATGAATAGAGGCATAGGCCCAAGGATAGAGAACATGGCGTACATAAACCAATGTGCCCAACCCTTAACCCTAATTCTCACGCCTAACCAATAACCCTAACCATAACCCTAACCTATTATATTGATATAATATATTTATATTGATGTAAATGACATTGGTTTTATTGGTACCCATGTTAATATGGTACGTCTTACCATAACAGATGCAAGAAACTTTATCAGCCATCGTATACTAACAATAAATTGTTACCATGTGTTCATTATGGCATTATATGACCATTGCTCATATCACTGACATGCTTAAATAATTAGCCAAAAATGCTACAACACGCTCACAATACATTACTATATATGTTAGTTACGAGTACATTTAAACTAGTGTCGAGATTTCAGGGGGGAGTGAAGAGTTGTCGAGTTCAGGGGGATGACGTCATACAACCAGAGACGAACCACCGCAACAGAGGTGGAAAGTTTTCCTGCGAGAGGGTGGCGCCAGCCGATGTGGGAGGTGAGGGAGTTGCACCCTCACGTACACGCGCCGGGCGAGAGGATGGCGCCAGCCGAGCACGTCGCAGACAACGGGGTACAACGCTCGTGCGTATAATGGACCAAGGGGGTTGCATCACCTGTACACGCGGGCCAGTGGCGAGGCTGAGAAATTCCTTCACTCCCAGCCCAGCTAGTACGTAGGGCCTGTACGAACGCGGCAGGCAGCAGCAGCCAGGCAGGCGGCAGGCGGCAGGCAGGCGGCAGGCAGGCGGCGGCGGTCCGCATGTAGCCGGACAAGCAATGCCTGCTTCCAGCGACATGTCACGCAAGACGAAGAAAGAAGAGTCGGATACAATTCTTCGGGTTCCGATTCGGATTCGAAATTCGGATTCGGAAGAAAGAAGAGAGCGCCAGTTAATGTAAGCGGGCTATATAGTACTACAGCTAGTCTCTACGATATTCCTAGGCCGAGATATTGCAGCGTAATCATGTCTCCCACAGGCCTCAGTAGAATAATATATATTGCCGTGAAATTGCACTATTTCGCCCTTTTTCCGTTGTGGTGTTTATTAGCTCTTGATACATATACATTATATATACATCAGTACTATGTTATAAGAGCAGAATAATTCCTTATAGTAACGATTACAACTATTAGTCAGTCTACGGAAATATGAAAGTTCATGTTTAATTTCAACCGTTTGTTACTATCTGTACTATACTCTACTAATTCTCTAGTACAAGTAGGGGGCCTACAGAGTTTGTTAGTAGTTAGTACAAGTACAGTAGACAGTTATAAGTTGAGTTATCCTGTTTGTGTTACTTTGAGATTTGTAGAATTGTATTGCTTATATAACTGAATATAAGCCACATAGAAGCGTGTTATGCTAGTGTTAGGATGAACATCGTATTATAAAACGCTTAGAATACCAGGTACAGGAATGTAGATTTATTTTCATAACAGTACCTGACAAAACCATGACTACTATTCCACGTTAATTATACACACAGACACTCGATTCTATATTAACCAGGGTGATTCGAACTCCGTATAAGTAAAGTTGAGTTTCTAATTTGATATTTAGCAAACGTTAAATTCAAATCATCTTCCTTTCAAAAGGGGAGGGATTGTAGTGTTTAACCCTGAGGTTAGCTGAAACGTAAACTAAGCGTTGCACGAACGAAAACAGAAAGTAGAACAGAAAGGTTTTGCGTATACACTGCGAGGGGATTAATTG